TATCTTTAAGAAATGTGCTCATATAGCCTATTTTTTTCATAATCTTATTTTTTTATTTACTTCCTATTTCCTTTCTATAATAGCTGCTATTTCTCAAATCATTCTATTGTTAAATTTTCCATAGTTGATGTCTGTAGGAGCCGCTTCTCGTACGTTCTTGATCAGCAGTGGGTAGCGTGTGATTCTCTGCATGGGTTTCAGAAGGAAGCTGGACAGTGGCATTCCTTTACAGCGGTAATTACTGGCAATTTTCTATGAAGAAGATAAAGACACAATGAAGAGAAGGAAAAGAGTCTAAATAATGTCTTATCGCTATCAACAGTGAATTCATCCACAGTATTCCACGAGAGTAGAAATCAACAGCACCATCTTGTGGACTACTGTGAAAAATGTACAACTGGTTTTTCTTCAGTACACCGATCAAGCAGCAAAACAACACTAGACCAAAATTATTTATTGTAAAAAAAAGTTTACTGTGCACTGTTATACTATTCACTTTTTAATACAGTCTAGGGTTAACGCTATACCTGTCTGAAAGCAGTAGAATGTAAAAATGTGTGCTGTTTTCTGTTACTAGAAAGTACTGCACTCCATTTACCTTCAGGAAGAGTTTGAAGTCAGGTGATTTGTCTGTTTTCTGCTGCAGCAGGGCCGCAGCATTGAGCTGGCAGCTGCAGAAGCGAATGTAGGCCTGCATGTGAGAGAGCTCTGAGGACAGAATATCACCCACCACCTGCACCGGCATCCGCTCTCCAGCCATCTTCTTACGGACAGGCAGAGCTCTGAAAAACACACAAGCTATCACCTGGTATATGATACATACATACATAATATACACTGAATACGTTTGCTTTTGTTTGTCTAGGAAACAAAATGTACTTGAAATATGATATGACCTATTAGAGAGACACTTTTAGCCACTCCACTTGTAGCGACAAATAAAAATTATACACTGAATATGTTTTTACTGTATTATTGTAGTTATTTTTAATGTAATACTTTTTACTGTATTGTAATTATTTGTATGTAATCTTTTTACTGTTTTGTAGTTAAGGTAATATTTTTCTCTATTGTAGTTTTTTTATTTGTAGTTTTTAAATAAAAATAATTTTTACTTGTAGCTATTTTTAATGTAATAATATAAGCAACAAAAAATGTTCAAAATCTATGAACTTAGTGAGACTGTTTTCATTAAGAGAAAATGTAAATAAATAAATATTGTATTGACTTGAATTGACTTCTTTCATTTTTTATTTGCATCCATTGTTTGCTAGTTGACAGTCCTAAAAGTGTAACAAAAATGGTTTTGCAGAAGCCTTTAACACACTAATCGTGCAAGCATCAAATAGAACTGGAATATGAACTAATATTGGACTAAAAAATTCAAACCAGACACTGAACGTTCACCAGGTGCCACTTGCAATTCACCAGACGGACTCTAGCCGTCAGTGTTGACTCACTTTAGGAGTTTGGTGCTGCACATGATCAGTTCCCGCCAGCTCACAAAGATCATACTCATCTCAGCCTCAGTCAGCCGCCCTGACTCTGCCATTGGCTTATAGAACACCTGAATATTCATTAACACAGGAAACAAATGAACATATTTTTGTAACTTAAAGTCCAAACAAATAGCACTACTTTCCAAAAGCGAATATATAATAAATATTGTTGATGCAGCTGTTGGTTCACCTCTAGTGCCAGTTCCAGGTCCTCCAGATAGGACTCTTCTGTCTGAATGAGCTCATGGATGTAGCCTTGCCTCTTCCTCTCCTCAGTGCACATAGAGTCTAAACTGAGCAGATCAGCACACCCTAAACACACACACATACACACATGCAGGACAAGCCACACATGCACATGCACTCATCAGCGACCACAGCACAACAGCATCTCACAATTAAAAACTTTATTTGTGAAATTATGCTTCATATAATTGTGAATACTTTCCATACAAAAATGTATCCAGAGCAAAGGTTATGACATTCAGAGCGAACTCTCTAAGATCTCTAAGGTCGCGATTGTTAGCTGGCTGCATAGCTGGTCAAGTATGAGGGCAACACGTGTTGCTGGTCATCAGTTCCTTTGACTACATTTAAACACGCAGAGGCAGACTAACAATCCTGTGATATACAAATATGATTGTGCTGATGAACAGTGCTGACTTAAAGGGTAGTTCACTTTAAAGGGGCCACGTCATATACACTGTTTTATTGTTCATTTTTTACCCTGTGGTCCATTTATAATGTTAGTTAAGGTTCTTGTGCCCAAATTTTGTGTTTTTAGCCATGTTTTTCATGTTAAAATTAATATGAACCAAATATGATCTTTAGCTATTGATGCAATAAATAGTTCTCTGGCACATTGGGATGCATATTTGCTGTTGGGATTCATAAAAAAAAAAAGACCTAATGCAGAAATGATCAAGGACCTTTGTAAAACTTAAACCAAAAAAATTAAAATCATAATTTACTTTAATTGTTAGTTGTTCGGAGTTTACTCACCAGGACTGGGCAAGTTACTGAACACTGAATAGATACATTTAGTCAATTTACTGAATAGTCAATGATTAGTCAATTTTTTAGATTATAATTACAACAGAAATTAGGGACTTCATAATGAGCCATTTTCGTAGCTTAGTAACATTTTGTTGTTGTTTTGGGACTGGACAGGATGTTTAGAGTTGAAATTTACAAAATATGTAATAACTTTTATTTAAAAAATGATCAAGGAAAGTTCAGTTACTCATGATATGGCCCCTTTAATTCATGTCACTTCCTAAAATAAACAGAGAGAAGAAGCAAGTGATATCTTTTCCCGATTAAACATTTCCCAATTAAACAGTAAGAAAAATATGTCCTAAAGCCAGTGGAGGTAAACTCATGGGTTCATTTGTGATTTAAACCAAGTCTAAACAGAAATAGTAGAAGAGGAGGGGTTAAATCCAAACAAATCTATTCAGTCTTGAGTCTGCTTCCTGGACCAGAGCAGTGTTCTGATTGGTCCAGAAAAGAGAGGCGGAAGAGGAAGGAGGGGCCAGAGCTATCATCCTACAATAAAACACAGATGAGGCGAATGACGTGGAAAAAGGGTGGAAAAGAGTAGATAAGGGCAGAGGAGAGAATGAATAATGAAGAGAATGATGGAGAATATATTAGATTCGAAGTTGTTGAAAAGAAAGAAAGAAAGAAAGAAAGAAAGAAAGAAAGGCTATGGCCAAAAAGTTTTCTGACCATCATCAAAAGTAAAAAAGTAAAACATCTTTTTATTTACTCTTTTTAAAAGGTTATTTCCAACACAATTAATTTAATCCATTTCAGTTTATATTTTCCCCACCCTTGCCTTATAAACAAACAACTCTGAACTCTGATGTGGAAACAGGAACTTATTTGGTAACTCAATAGTACTCACATTGCTGGCTGGGATCACATTCTGTGGTCATCTTCACATAATTAGTTGGAAACAGCCCTATGACTCCAGCGACCTCTCCTTTCCACCAGTCAGGGTTGTCCTTGTTGAGCACGGTGATCAGCTGACCTTTTTGGAAGCTCATCTCATCCTTATTGGCTGCTTTGTAGTCATACATTGCAATAACCTGACACACTACAAGGGGAAGAGCAGAAAAGACAGAGAGAATGGATGGATGGAGCAGAATGGGCCAGAGGATGGAAAACAACACATACATACAACCACATACAAAAGAGCATTAATGAAAGAGTGTGTGTGTATCTTACATGGCTGAGATGCTGGAGTTATTTTTCCGCTGTTGGCCTCCAGTAATCTGACATTAGAGGAGTGGAACCAGCCCTTTTTACGCTTTTTACCCCGTGCCTACAAACACACACATTTGTTAGTTTTTTAAAAACTGGTCATTTTCCATTGAGTTCTATTGTTTTTATACTAAGCTATGAAACTGTCACCTAATATCTATCTATCTATCTATCTAAACATTAATATGTATTTATATGCACTATATTGCACTATAAGCAAATGCTTATGTCCTGGTTAAGGTTAAGTCTGGTTATGTGATATACAGTGCTAACCTGTAGTTCACCCAGCCACCAGCTGTTAGAGTTCTTATACAGCACCACAATAAGCTGACCAGGTGTCAGACTCAGTTGTTCTGGTGTTTTGGCAGCATTGGCTGTAGTCACCTGAGCAATCTCTGAAGACCAATGAAGATGGCAAATGAATAATATCTCAAATGTGAAACAACCAGACTTCATTTTTGCTTCTGTGTGATGGTACTATGCTCTCAATTCTCACCTGGCTTTTTACCGGGAACTCCAGGATTGGCAGTCTAAAATGATAACACAGTGAGCAATCATTATCAAAATACATACCAACTTAAATGTCTCTGAAAGCAAATTATTTTAAAACATTTCTCTGCAAAAGAATGTTACTTCATTATCATAAAAAGTGTTCATTTGTTTCAAATAAATAAAAAATTATTATATATATATATATTATATATATATATATATAATTTATGAAAATTAGGTGTCTTTACTGCATCTCTCAGCATAACTCTCTGGAAACCAGCCGCTGTTACCACGGTAACTCCCATACAGCCAGCCGGTCTCCCTAACTGTTGATTCATCTACCTGTGGATCCACAGGAAGCCAAATTATATGTGTACTTGAATGAGTAAAATGACAACTGCGTGAGTGAATGTGTTGACATATGTACAGAACCTCGATCAGACAGTCTGCCTCCAGTGTGAGCTCGTCAGAGTTGCGTGCTGTGAAGGGATAGAGAGCTCTGTAGGTGGTGAGGGCAGCACATGTAGCTTCAGTAGTCACCACTGGCTGCAAGCCTGATAAAAAACCAACACAATCACCTTAGAACCATCTCACAACCATTTGGCACATTTACAAATGCATATTTCAACATATAAAAACATCTTCATAACAGAAAACCCACATCAGCAAACATCATTTTATATGTATCTCAATAATTGTACTGCTCTCTGCACTGAAACATTCTATTAAATCAAATTTTTCAAATGAATTGCTTGATAAATTTATCTAAATGGACACTGCAATATTCCATTGTGAGTTACAGCTGATTTATTTAATGAATCTACTGAACCAGTTTACAAACTGGTCTGTATGATTCTTTCACATATCGGACTGACTTGTTTTGAGCCGGTTTTCAAGATCACTGAGAAGCCCATATTAAATCAATAAATAATAAATATGATTACATTTAATTGCTTAAATTTGAGTCTGTTTCTCAAACTGAACTCGGAAGACTAGCGCACAAGTTTTATGGAAAAAAGTGACCAGTACTTCACATGTTTTTATCTTGTGTTTCACGGAAGAAAGTAAGTCAACAGGGTGAGAAAATGATGACAGGATTTTCTATTTAGGGTGAATTATCCCCGAAGTAGCATTATAATAAACATAATAAGACATTGTGTAAATAAGTATTAAAGGAATAGTTCACCCCAAAATTAACATTTTGTCATAAGTAACTCACCCTCATGTCGTTCCAAACCTGTATAAGTTTCTTTCTCATGTTGAACAGAAAAGAAGATATTTTGAAGAACCAAACAGTTGTTTGCCTCCATTGACTTTCATAGTAGGGAAAAAAATTCAATGGAAGTCAATGAGGATCATCAACTGTTTGATTACCAGCATTCTTCAAAATATCTTCTTTTGTGTTCAACGTAAGAAAGAAACTCATGTCTGGAAAGACATGAACGTGAGTAAATGATTACAAAATTTTCATTTTAGGGTGAACTATTCCTTTAAGACACAGAACACAGTGTGAGTTCAGAGTATTATGTGAAATTAAAATATACATAAACATATATTGTATGAAACTCTATGTTTAGCAGCCTATTACCTTCCTTCTCTCAAAACACTCACATTCCTGTGGAGTCTGTTATATTAACTCGGATAATTAATGGCAGGTAATTAAAATGAATCATGAAGCCGTGAGAGTAATGACACCCTTTACAATTAATATAATGAAAACATCATATTCATGGCCAAGTGGATGAATACAAGCCGTTTTCAAGCTTCGGCAAAGCACCTCACCCACTCACACACGCACACACACACAGACACTCACTTTTGTTCTCTGTGCTATTGTATGTCATGGAGGGCTGAGTGTGTAGAGCCAGTTCATTCCTTTCTCTCTCTTCTCTCTCCTTCTCCTCCCTCTCTCTCTCCTCCGCCCTCTTCTTCTCCTCTTTCTCTCGTGCCTGCTCCTGGGCTTCCTGAAGTCTGGCTTGGGCCTGACGCTGCTGTTCTTCCCTGAGTTTGGCTTCTCGCTCCTGGGCAAGCATCCTCTGACGCTCTGCTTCCTCCTGCTCTAGACGCTCCTGTTCCAGCTTCGCCTGTCTAATGTACACATGAGCAAAATGTTGAGTGGGTAAAAGAGTGGGTGTTTAATCTAGCCTTTTTAGGGGGAATATTTGATGAAAAATATCACAAGAATAGAAATCTGATACAGAAGAAAACTGTACAGAGACACATGGGTGATAAATGAACTAAAGTTTTTTTTTAACTATAAAAACAAACTATAATATATTTACAGAAATTTACATGATTTTTTTAAAAGCCTATATATCTCAATTATATAACACCTTAATATTTCCATGTTGTTCATTTATGTGTGACCTCTGTAGATGGCTTGATAAATATGCATGTCTGTGTGTGTGTGAAATCAAATTTTACCTGGCAGCCTCCTCCTCTTTCTTCCTCTTCCTCTCCTCCTCCTCTTTGTTCCTCTTCCTCTCCTCCTCCTCTTTCCTGTGTCTCTGTAGCTCTTTGAGTTTCTCAGATCTCACCCTCCTGAGCTGCTCTAGGACGTCCTGCTGCTGGCTCTGCCTCTGTCTCAAGTCCTACAATGTTACCCACACAATTCTTTAACACATACATCATGTTTATAACAAAACTTAGAATAATATGGTGTAGGTTCAAATACACAGTATGTGGTATTGCTTTATGCCAGCTTTACGGACTGCTAAAATTAACATAAATTACCGATATTGAGTGATACTGAGCTCCTATAAATTATCTGTTCCATTAAGGTTATTTCATAAATATAATATATAAATATATGATAAACATTTATTAAAAAAATGCATTAAAAGAGCAATATTGTGAAATATTGTTACAATTTAAAATAAATGTTTTGTATTTTAACACATTTAAAAATGTAATTTATTTCTGTGGTGGCAAAGCTGAATATATATATATATATATATATATTAATGACACCATTATGAGGTGATGAAATGGCACAGATGTTATAAAGATGTTATAAGGTCATGAGGTCAGACATTGAAGCTCATTCCAGTATACTATGAGCAAAGTGAGACTTCATTCATGGTGAATAACTAGGGTGAAAGGTGAAATGAATGAAAGGCAGGCAGTTTTGAGATGAGTGTGAGTTAAGGAAAGATAAAGACAGGTCAACCTTTATTAGAAGGAAGAGATTGGTTAGGCAGCCCAGCAAAGAGAGAAGTCCTTGAAGCACACAGTCATCCATTTCTACAAACTATAAAGTCAGCCGGGGGGAAAAGAGGAAGAGAAGAAATAGGAGAGATACAGTGGGAGGAAAGAAAACGATAAAGTGGGCAAAAAGAATGAAAAAAAGAAAGGCTTGGAGCAGAAAACATTAGACGTATACTGAACAATAGCTGATTACCACATGTATAATGCTTGGGTTTCCGATCCAACCAGCCGGTGCAGTAAGTGTGTTAGTGATGTGTGTTGTGTTTTCTTTAGTAGTGTGAACTGTGTGAACGTTAGTGTGTAATGAAGTGCTCAATCCTCTGCCTTCAGGGCTGGGAGTTGAGCTGTAGGTTTTAATCACAGGAACATAGAGAACAACGAACTAGTGAGTCCCTCACAGGGACATTGAGGTTTAAAATAATTTTGAAGAGAGCACACCCCCACCCCAAAGCCCACATTAGCTTTAATAAAAACACGGCACTTTAAATGTTGTTGTGGTTTACACTGGGAATGTAAGAGAAGCCGCTGACCTTGATTTCTCTGTTGTACTGCTCCATTTGTGAGAGTTTCTCAGTGGTCTCTCTCTCCAAAACATCCAGCTGCTCCTTCAGCTTCCGACAGCTCAGATCTTTTTCGCACAAACTCTGTTTCACATCATTTATCAAAGGACCTGAAAGGGGAAAAAGAATGAGAGAAAGAAGGACATAAAAACGTCTATGTTCCCAGGCCTTGAATTCAAGAGGGATGACACAGTTGAAATTAGTCATCCACCCGTCTATTCACTGATTGCTTCAGGTCTATGTGAGTGCTCACTTGAGTTGTTTTGGGTAATATGTAGAAGTCTCTCTGTCAGTCGCTGCTTCTCAGGACCAAGACGACTCAGCTGCCTCTGAATTTCCTGCAAGAACACATTCATATAGACTATTATTTAATTTATTTATTTTAAAGATTTTTTTTATGTGTTTGAAAGAAGTCTCTTATGCTCACCAAGGTGGCATTTACAGTATTTGTTTAAAAATACAGTAAAAACAGACGAAAAATGTTTTCTATTTGAATATATTTTAAAATGTAATTTATTTCTGGGATGCAGTGCTGAATTTTCAGAAGTCACTACTCCAGTCTTCAGTGTCACATGATCCTTCAGAAATCATTCTAATATGCTGATTTTCTGCTCAAGAAACATTTCTTT